ATGTTTAGCGATCCAAAAACATCAAAATAATCATGTATAACTTTGGGTATTTGTATACGGATGTTATTATTTTTGACAGATCCTGAAAGTTATACAATTAAATAAATATCTTCAACTAATTAATTGTATTCGTTGAATTTTGTAACTTACTAGACACAGCAATCAGAGTGCAAATAATACACTCAAGTTCTTGACGAATATGATCTTTTGTATCAGTTGACGTAAATTCATGAGTATTGCAAAATTCCAAAACATCTCTAACCCATTCAATAATTAATGTAAAAACATTGAAAGATAATTCAAGCTGATTCTGCAATAGCGTATTAATGAGAAAAATCATTGCATGAAATGCAGATTCAGGTTGTTGCTTCTCTTCTACTTCCGGTATAAAATAACGCTTGCTGGATAATTTTGGAGACAGATTATTATGACTATAAAAATGAATACGCTTGATAAAAACCTGCCCTTAAATACCTTTTACATGCATGTCTAAGAGCATTCATCAAAGAACACATTAATATACCGTCAAAATAACCACATTCCCCGAGTTTGTTAAGTATAAAATAAAAAATCCAAAAGATTTCTCTAGCATGCCCCAATACAGGCACAAGTTGTATAATGAGCTCAATATCAAAAACAATTACAAATGTTGCTGTTCTATCATTCAATATATGCGTACTTGTGGGTAAATTAGTGACATTAAAAAGAGACTGCAAGCCTTCAGGAAAGAGATCAGAAGTATGTTCTTCACAAAAGGTATTAATCATTACGTTATTTTTTAATGGTGATTGCATGTCAATTTTTGGATTATTTAAAGAAAGTATGAAAGATATCATTTGACCAATTTCAATAGTAATCTGTCGAATAAGAAATATTTTATCTTCTGATGAAATAGAGTTATGATCTTGATTCTTAAGAAGTATACGGAACATGTCTAAAATGTCCGAATGCAGCCGTGCGAAATACGGGTGATATAAACGAAGTTTCATTAATGAAGAATTTGGATCTGCCAATATGATTATAACATCAGGATGAATATGAGGAGTCCATTGAGAGAGAATCTATAGAAATCAATATTGAAAATGATATAATGGAAATACACCATTCAGATTAAATATAAGACGATCAAAAAATGAAAGCATAAAATAATAATTAACCTGAAGGAAGCAGTCAAACCAATCATCTAATACAAAATCAATCGATTCTTTTTGAAGACCATTTTGAATCTGTAGCAACAAAAATTTGGTTGACTGAACTTGATGCTGTACAAATGATGTCTTTCTCGAAGAGCTCA